TTTTCTTTTTGCTTATATGGTGCTGAGGAATCGAACCCAGGGCCTCAGGCATGCAAGGCAAGCGCTCTACCACTGAGCCACCTTCCCAGCCCCATCAGCTCCCTTTTTTCTTAAGACTTAAGGTCTGCCATGATTTCCTTTTCAGTATAAACTTAATTGACTGAAAATTACAGCACCCAGGAGACACGGTTTAGGTTCGTTAGAAAATGACATAGTTAAAAGACCTACCTATTATTGCCTGTCATTCTAGAAAGAAAAAAGGAAGAAGGAAGGAAGGAAGGGCCACTACTTGAGAAAATTCAATTTTCTGGTGAAAGATAACTAACAGACTATGTTTCCTTTTACCACAGTTAGTTTTCAGTTGCTGTGTCAGTTGTGTCTGTTAATCTTTCAAATTAAATGATAGCTGTCACTCCAGACAGTACTTAAGAGGCATACTGAAACCTGAACAAACAATCTGCTGCCACTTGAGAGTTTCGATTGGCAAATGAACATATCACATGCAAAACTTACATTATTCTTCACTCTTTTCCTTTAAGGCCATTGTATTTCATTTCACTTTAAAAATTTCTCTTGTCTTTATTGAGTACAGTAAACTGGCATATCTCTAATATAACTGAGCATCAAATGTTTTGTGTTGGCATATAGAAATTTTTCATCATTTAATTTTGATAATCTATCCAAATTACCCTTATTGGAAAAGCTGAGGGGAAAACTGATTTCCAGAACCTTGTAAAGCACTGAAATGTAGGCCTCCATATTGCTGTAATAAACAGGAATTAACCATATTTTAAAGAAAAAATTGTCTTAAATTATTCTATTGGAACAAATAGCCCTTTCATATTGTCTCAATTGCTGCCTAAATAAATCTGTCCCATCCTTTTATGATCTTTATTTACTCAGTGTCAACCTGTGTCTGCTGCTGATTGGTCCAAGGATATACGAACCTGCAAGATGTTAAGTGCACAATCTTTGAATAAATGGTTGATTTTATGCAGTAACAGAACTGAGAATGTGATCCAGAGTTTTCTGAGCTGTTTGAGAAGAGTCGGAAGTTCCATGGGATTTAATGTGGGCTACCCTAAAATGTGAGAATGCATTGAATACTTTCAATATATTAATTTGGTTTGATTAGAAGGCAGGAAATAATGACTGGCATTATCTGCAAAAGCTTTGTTTTAGTAAAAATTTTCTAATACAAAGTACCAAGAGATTCATTACAAGAAAACAGATTTGATAACATTTTTTTATAAAGATCAGACTATGTTTTACCTTGATCTTTGAAGACTTTTATTTTCACAGTTCTTCTTAGGAAAGTTTCATTCCTCAAAATCTTTTCATTATTGGTTGGGGTATAATAAATCTTTCTTTTTTGCCAGTACTGGGGCTTGAACTCAGGGCCTAGAAGCTATCTTTTAGCTTTTTCCACTCAAAGCTGGCATTTTCCCACTTGAACCACACCTCCACCTCTGGCTTTTGATTGGTTAATTAGAAATAAGAGTCTCATGGATATGCCTTCCTAAGCTAATCATAATTTCCTGCCTTGGTTGTCTTCAAACAGGGATCCTCAGATTTCATCTTCCTAAATAGCCAGGCTTATAGGAATGAGCTACTGGCACCCAGCTTAGTTGGGTATAAATCCTTAGTAAGTCCAAATTTTGCCACCTTTGCCTTTGTCCTTATTAGTTATTAATGAACCTTAACAGCAAACAGGATACTAAAAAATAAATGTTGTATTTCATGATTTAATTGATAGATCTTATGATGTTTCAAAATTCAATTATAGAAATAACTCCAAACTGGGAAAAGAGCAAAGAAAGAGGTAACATTCTTCAAAAAGAAATGTATTAATTACCTGACTTATGAAATAGTAACCCCTCTGTACATCTTTATAATAACAAGAACAAAATAAAAGCAGGACACTGGTGGCTCATGCCGTAATCCTAGCTATGCAGGAGGCTGAGATCTTAGGAACACAGTTTGAAGCCAGCCAGGGTAGGAAAGTCTATAAGACTCTTATCTCCAATTAATCACAAGAAGACTGAAAGTGGAGCTGTGGCTCAAAGTGGTAGAGCAATAGCCTTGATCAAAAGAGCTCAGAGACAGTGCCTAGGTACCGAGGTCAAGCCCCCATGACCAACATAAAATGAAAATAAAAATATAAAACATAGGGCTGGGAAGGTGGCTCAGTGGTAGAGCACTTGCCTTGCATGCACAAGACCCTGGGTTCGATTCCTCAGCACCACATAAGCAAAAAGAAAAAAAGCCGAAAGTGGCGTTGTGGCTCAAGTGGTAGAGCGCTAGCCTTGAGCTGAAGAGCTGAGGGACAGTGCCGAGGCCCAGAGTTCAGGCCCACGACCGGACCCAAAAAAATAAATAATAAAGCTACCCTCTCCTATATATATATATATATATATATATATATATATATATATATATATATATATATATATATATATAGGAGAGGGTAGCTTTATTATTTATTTTTTTGGGTCCGGTCGTGGGCCTGAACTCTGGGCCTGGGCACTGTCCCTCAGCTCTTCAGCTCAAGGCTAGCGCTCTACCACTTGAGCCACAGCGCCACTTCCGGCTTTTTTTTTTGCTTATGTGGTGCTGAGGAATCAAACCCAGGGCCTCAGGCATGCAAGGCAAGCACTCTACCACTGAGCCACCTTCCCAGCCCTTAAGGCTTATTTTAAAAGAAACAAATCTAGCCAGGTACCAGTGGCTCACACTTATAATCTTAACTACTCAGGAGACTGAGATCTATGGATCAAGGTTCAAAGCCAACTTGCACAGGGAAGTCCTTGAGACTTATAGCTCCAATTAACTACTAAAAAGCCAGAAGAGGAGCTGTGGCTCAAGTGGTAGACCAGCCTTGAGCGAAAAAGCTCAGGGACAGCACCCAGGCTCTGAGTCCCAGGACAGGCATGCACCCACATGCACGCATACACACTATCTAAAATAAGTTTTGTTGATTCTGTTACATAAGGTTAGTTATTTAGAGGATTTTTTTTCTTGGTAAAGCCACCTAGTTATTCTTTGAACATTTATTGAGTAGTTGTTATGTGTTTGATTCTCAGTGGCTGAGAATAAGAAACACAAATTTACTCAAAATGAGCAGGTTTCCTTTAGAACCCATTCATTGTTGTGCCTCTTTATATTGAACTTGATATGCTTATAAAACTGTGGTTACTTCTTTTTCTTTGTTGTTGTGAATGTATGATGATCCTAATTGGAAGGTGAGAAGTTCTTTTTTTTTCTTTTTTCTTTTCTTTCTTTCTTTTTTTTTTTTTTTTGTCGGTCGTGGGGCTTGAACTCTGGGCTTGGGTGCTGTCCCTGTGTTCTTCAGCTCAAGGTGAACGCTCTACCGCTTGAGCCACAGCGCCACTTCCGGTTTTGTAGCAGTTTATTGGAGATAAGAGTCTCCTGGACTTCTCTGCCCGGGCTGGCTTTGAACCTCGATCCTCAGATCTCAGCCTTCTGAGTAGCTAGGATTACAGGTGTGAGCCACTGGCACCCGGCCAAGAAGTTCTTTAAATGGAAGTTATGTTTGTAGCCTTTTGCCCCTAACATAATGTTACATGATTGACTGATTAAGGTTGCTTAGTCCAGGCTCCAAAACAGGTTACTACTGTGGTTAAAAAAACAAATCAAACCAAAGAAACCACCCCTTTTATTTTCTTGAATTATGCAGGAACATAGTTGAATACCTTGGCTTCACTAACTTGATGGTTTCTGAAACTTTCATTTTAAAATTGTCTTAGACAGTCAGTACTAGAGAAGTCATATTTCTGCTTTAATGTGAGCCCTGTTTTAGAATTTGATAACCTGAGCTTGTAAATTTCAAAAGTTCACTTTCAACCCAGTTTTGAACAATATAAATATTAATTGAGGGCATTCTGTACAGGCGAAAAAGTGTCATTTGCCTCAAAACAATGTTTATGGTAATAAAGATGGTTACTAAAGATTGATTGCATATCTTGTACAATATCTTGAGAAACAATTTTATCTTCAAAAGATTTTTATATTTCATTAGTGGCTTTTTCCCTAAAACTACTAGTCCTTTGCAAATTCATTAATATTAGTTCTAATATCATATGATTATGTGCTACTAAGAACACCTTAATCTCTTTATTACAGCATAAACATACAGGAAAGCACAGCTGCGTTCATTAGAGCTATTCAGCTACATGTGGACCCTAATGTTCAGTTGGTAAGTACAGGGCATTTTTTGGATTTTTTGATGTACAATTCACATGTTTTTGAATATTCTATTCCATGGTAGGCTTGCAAATTACTATGCATTTCCCTAAAATACTTAAGAAAGTATTACTATTTGTCAGTGTTTTATTTTCTTAGCTCTACCAGTTTTAAGTGTTTATTATTAGCCTTCTGACAGCTTCTGTTGCTTGCATTTTTTTCCAGCTTGTTGAGGGTCATCTTTTACTTAAATTGACTCCCACTTCTTCTCATAAATGTTAGGGTACCCATGGCTCCATGTTTCTGCTTCCTCTGAAACCCTGCCATCTGTGTACTATATCTTCTATGAAAGCCATTTCCTCTGGCACTGTACCACCATGTTGGACACTTGCGTTTGCCTTATTTCCCAAAGTTGTATGTGAGACCTGTGTGTGTTTGTACCAACTACATGCAAGTGTAATAGAGTGGAGCCAAAGTATGATTAAACCATACTCCAACTTTGTTGTTTTGTTTTTGTTGCTGTTGTTTGAGGCCAGAACTCTTAACTCTGTATCTGACACTTTCACCCATAGGCTGGTGTGCTACCAACTGAGTCAAGCCTCCAGCCCCTAAACTCCAAGTTTTTAGACATTCTGGATATTCTTACTCTTCTTACAAGATCACTGCCTACCCAGATACCACATTGTTTTTCCTGATATTTTGCTTTCTCTTTAGCCTCCCCAGTTCATTTAGACCACCTCCCAACATGCTTGTTCATATCTCATGAAAAACAGTATTAGCCATGTTTCTCTTTCAGTCATACACACACAAAAATGTCTATGTTATACTAAGTGAATAGGATTCTCACTCTGAGGTTTATTTTTTATGTAAATAAAATGAAACTTTGAGAAGCATTGTGAGAATATACTAAGAACTTTCATATACCTTTCCTAGAATCTTGTCTGACGTGTAACCATATTTCTTTATCATTACCATGTTTGCTAGCATCATTTCCTAAACTATTGGAGGGTAAGTTGCACACAGTTACTCTTGAATCCTTGTTGCACATTTCCTGAAAAAGAGGCACTGCCTTGCAGAGCCATGGAAAACCAACTGACCATAGGAGAAAGCAGTAATAGGAAGAGACTTTGAGAACACAAACATTCAATTTAAGAGAAAAGTGAGGAGGAAGGGAAAGCAAAGAGAGATAGCTAGAACTGGCTAGAGAAGGGCTTTGCTTGATTCATTTATCAGTGGTTTAAAGGCCATTTAAGACAACTGTAGGTACATTAATATTTGTTTCTTGGAAATTTAGGAAGAAAAGATGTTTAGAGGCTTCACATTTTTCCAGAAACTCTTCCCAGACATAAGTAAACTGATTTCATCTTGTGTTGCTTTCTTTGTCTTTAGGTGATGTGTATTCTGCCTTCCAATCAAAAGAACTGTTACGATTCCATTAAAAAATACCTGAGCTCCGACTGCCCAGTCCCAAGCCAGTGTGTGCTTGCTCAGACCTTGAGCAGACAGGGGATAATGATGAGTATTGCCACCAAGATTGCCATGCAGATGATCTGTAAGCTCGGAGGGGAGCTGTGGGCCGTCGAGATTCCAGTGAGGACCCCATTACACTTTTCCTCTCAGTGAACAACTTTTAAATCAAAGTAGGCTCCCCCGATACTCTTGGGAGGCTGGCTCCAGGAACCCCTGAGGATACCAAAACCTGCAGATGTGATATCTGCATATAACCTATGCTCTTTTTCTTGTGTACTTTAAATCATCTCTAGATCTCTTCTAATAGCTAATACAATGTAAATACAAAACTCACGGACATGCAGGACCAACTGTGTTTTGGGGGCCCTGGGTTGTGGAATTATACAACCACTGCAGCAATACCCCAAGAGAAGGTGAAGCATGACCCCTCTTCTCAAGGAATTTTAATTCAGCTGCTAACATAGAAGAAGAATGAAATTTTTTTCATGAAAAAGGATCTAGTTCATCTGCTTGGCGATGGGGTGGGGAACTGCTATACTGAAGTCTGTATTCTGTGGCCTCTACTTTTACCTACTTTCCACAGAGTGCTACTTTTTCAAGTAACCTTGCATCCTGCGTGGGGTTCCCCAGCTCTTAAAGCATTGGCAGAACCTAGGATCTGCCCCTTAGACCTCTCAACTCTAGCAGGAATTAAGAAAATCCTCTTTTATTTCCTCACCTGAGGCAGGCATGGAAAGAAGTTAGGAAAACGAGAAGAATGTCACATTCCCATACATCGCCATAACCATGAAGATGAGTAGGCCCCTCAGCCTCCCTTCTCCCACATCCATTGACGTGAGGTGTGAACACACATGCCCTTGCAGGCTACCTGAAGCAATCTGAAGGAGTGCAGTGGAATCTCTCTTCAGATTCCTACAGGCCAGAGTAAGGGAAAGTAGATTCACCACCACTCTCCTAACCCTAGCCACTGGCATCCCAAGGTTCAGCCCCACAGAGGCTGAAGGTTAAAGTGGCCTGTAGTGAGTCACTTAAGCAAAGCATGTATCATCTTCTTTCCTCCACCTTTAATTTTCTGGTTATGGCTTAATAATATGGATCCTTAACTTAAAAAATTCAGCAACTGCCGGGCGCTGGTGGCTCATGCCTGTAATGCTAGCTACTCAGGAGGCTGAGATCTGAGGATCTCGGTTCAAAGCCAGCCCGGGCAGGAGAGACCGTGAGACTCCTATCTCCAATAAACCACTAGAAAACCGGAAGTGGCGCTGTAGCACAAGTGGTAGAGCGCTCGCCTTGAGCTGAAGAGCTGAGGGATAGCACCCAGGCCCAGAGTTCAAGCCCCATGACCGACCCAAAAAAAAAAAAAATTCAGCAACTGCAGACAACTTTTTTTTTTTTGTCGGTCGTGGGGCTTGAACTCTGGCCTGCGTGCTGTCCCCCTCAGCTCTTCAGCTCAAGGCGAGCTCTCTACCACTTGAGCTACAGCGCCACTTCTGGTTTTCTGGTGGTTTATTGGAGATAGGAGTCTCACTGTCTCTCCTGCCCAGGCTGGCTTTGAACCGAGATCCTCAGATCTCAGCCTCTTGAGTAGCTAGGATTACAGGAGTGAGCTACCAGCGCCCGGCTCTGCAGACAACTTTTTGAATGTCAGATTAAGCCTGGCAGCAATGGCTCACACCTGTAATCCTAGCTACTCAGGAGGCTGAGATCAGAGGATCATGGTTCAAAGCCAGCTGGGCAAGAAAAGCTGTGAAACTCTTATCTCCAGTAAACTACCAGAAAACCGGAAGTGGCACTGTGGCTCCAAGTGGTAGAGCGCTAGGCTTGAGCTGAAGAGCTGAGGGACAGCACCCAGGCCCAGAGTTCAAGCCCTACAATCAACACATGCACACACACACAAAAAGAAGCCGGGCGCTGGTGGCTCATACCTGTAATCCTAGCTACTCAGGATCTGAGGATCACAGTTCAAAGCCAGCCCAGGCAGGAAAGTCCATGAAACTCTTTATCTCCTGTAAACCACCAGAAAACCAGAAGTGGCGCCGTAGCTCAAGTGGTAGAACTTCAGCCTTGAGCTGAAGAGCTGAGGGATAGAGCTCAGGCCCAGAGTTCAAGCCCCACGACCAACAAAAACAACAAAAAAGGCTAAGCAAGAGCACAGGGCCCTTAGTTCAAGCCCTAGTACTGCCACAAAAATAGTCATTTTAACCATTAATCACAATAGTCATTCATATTGAAATTAATCATAACAAAGGTCATAGTAATCATACTAATCACTGGCTAAATAATTGAATTAAATCATGACAAGTTTACTTTTTCAGTTAAAGTCCCTGATGGTGGTTGGTATCGATCTCTGTAAAGATGCCTTCAACAAGGAGGAGGTGGTAGTTGGATTTGTGGCCAGTGTTAACCCCAGAATCACCAGGTACTTTTAAAGTAACTATTGCAGTCTTAAATTTGATCCTCTTGCTCTCTTGCTTGAGAAAACACCTTGCTGTGTCTGTCAGGCTGGCTGACCTTGTCATCCTCCAGCCCCCAAGTGCCTGATTACAGGCATGTGTTATCATGCCTGGCTTCAACTAGACGTTTAACTGTAGTTCAATGAAAAAATGTAAATGATTTGCTCATTTTAAACACTAACACTTAATGATTATAAAGAATACTTACATATAAAAATATTTTTCTCTGGGCTCTGGTGGCTCATACCTATAATCCTTGCTACTCAGGAGGCTAAGATCTGAGGATTACAATTTGAAGTCAGCCTGGACAGGAATGTCTGTGAGACTTATCTATAAATAACCACCAAAACTTGCAGTACAGCTGTGGCTCAAGTGGTAGAAAGCTAGCCTTGCACAAACGTTCAAGGACAGTATCCCAAGCCCTGAGTTCAAACTCCAGGACTGGCAAATTTTTTTTTTTTTTACAATATTGGTATAGTATGTTGCCACACATCATGGTTCAAAGCCAGCCTGGGCAGGAGAGTCCATCAGACTTTTATCTCCAATTAGCTACCAGAAAACTGGAAGTGGTGCTCTGGTTCAAGTGGTAGAGCACCAGTCTTGAGGAAAAAACTCAGGGACAGTGCCAAGGCCCTGAGTTCAAGCTCCACAACTGACAGAAAAAAAAACCTATATATATATATATATAATGTACATAAATACATACATATGTATATAATATATAATATGTGTGTATGTATGTATGTATATATTTTGCCTTGGTTTTTACTACAAAAATATCAAAAATGTACTGAAAGTTGTCCATCAGACTTCTAGACTTCCATGTCACTCTGATCCATGGGTAGTTTTCAAATGCTTTTATCTATGTGTGTACTTGTATCTGTACATATATGTATGCGTATGTATATATTACTATATGTGTGCATATGTATATGTATATATATGAGTGTATGTGATTGTATGTGTATGTGTGTATGTGAGTGTATGTGTATATGTGTTGTGCATATATGTGAGTGTATTATGTGTGTATGTGTGTAAGTGCATGAGTACATAAAGGGGTGGGGAGAGAGATGGGGAGAGACAGAGAGCAAAGGTGACCCCAGTGACCATCTTCAAATATAGGTCATACCTCCTAGTAACATTCAGCCATTAATTCAGTGGTTTAATTTATTGATAGAATTAGCACCTTCACAATCCAGTCACCTTCAATAGCTCTGCCTACTAAAGAATATCCTACTACACACAAGCCTTTTAGGGGGCATTTTATACCCAAACCATAGTGCTTTTAACTAATGACTTTATCATGAGAACTTCTTAAATTTAGATAGGTTGATGGCTAAATTCAAATGAATAACCTATAGAAATGGAGGCTAATGCCTGAGAAATTCTTGAAGATTTTAAAAGCATAAGAGCTACTGCTAAACTAATATGTCCAATAATAATCCAATTATTATTATACAGCAGCTTCTGTTAGTGTTCACTATATTCCAAATTCTGTCCTAAATATTTGTATATATCATTGAGCTTAATGTTTATCACAGACCTTGGAGGTAGTAAGTACTTGGCTGTTTTGGCAATCTCTTTGGTACAATTGGAGAAATTAGATGAAGTTCACATAGCCAGCCCATGTAACTGGTGAGTAGCCAGGGCTGGCACCCCAGTGCCAACCCTGTGGTTTCAAAGTAACAATAAATTGATTCTTGGATGAGGTTCTTTTTAATATAATTGTGATCACATAACATGTACCAAATTATGAACATTGATTTTCATGTCTACTTCTTAATTTAGTATTACTACATATTTAGAGTAGGGATATTGAAGCTGAACCTTACTCTTATCTTTTGCTTGCTTTAGGTGGTTTTCTCGCTGCATCCTTCAGAAAACAACAGCCAATATTGCGGACTGTTTGAAAGTCTTCATGACTGGTACTAAAATCACAGCAGCAGGGTGGGCTCCAAGGATGGTCCTTTAGACTCAAATTTCACAAGCTTATAAACAGACCAGCTAGGCAGAAGCAAACTCACTAAAACTGCCAACTGTCACCTCATTGGGGATCCCAGATTTATGTGCTGACTGTCACAGCTAAAAAGTTGAAAAGGGAGGGAAGTTTGTTAACGCTGGTGGGCTCTGGAAAGCAGTCTGAAGGCCAAAAGAAAAAGGTGTATGGCAGAGCTGTGTAAGTCTAGACACAGGAGACGAGTCTTTGGCTCTAGCATATCCATGCTTACAGGCAAAGTGGGCACAACAGGAAAAGATGGAGAGATAGCAGAGGAGAAAGGAGACCCTATTAGCAGTGCAGGACTCCCAACTGTGTACAGATCTCCTCTCCTCCAGTGTGTATTTTCCAAGCTGTAAGCAGGGGTGATAATTTTTTAAATGAATTTGGTGAGCACTTTGATCATCTTGGATATATGATTAGCTTCTATCAAACTAAAATGAATTTTTACAATAAACTCTTCTAAAGTAATATTTATAATATGTACTTGAAAAGAATTACTGCATTCTATTACTTTGCCCCTCATTTCAAAAGCTGGTAAATTTAACACTTGTTATTGTGTAGAAGTTAACATACAATTCTTACTCTTAGTTTCTACTGATAGTAGGTGGAGAAGTCATTTTCATATGTTTTCATATTTATTCTCATTAGGGAAGAAAAAGATACAAACATAGGAAAGTCTATATCTACTGAGAAGTTGAAGATTAGAAGAAAAAGGCAAATAAAGCTGGGCGCTGGTAGCTCATCCCTGTAATTCTAGGCTGAGATCTGAGGATCTCGGTTCAAAGCCAGCCCGGGCAGAAAAGTCCGTGAGACTCTTATCTCCAATAAATGAACAGAAAACCAGAAGTGGTGCTGTGGCTCAAGTGATAGAGCGCTTATCTTGAGCTGAAGAGCTGAGGGACAGCACCCAGGCCCAGAGTATCTGGCTTTAGGCACTTGTCTGTCGAATAAATTAAAATTTGAATTTGTTGCCTAAATATGAAAATTGGACTAAAGACATATGCTAAATTTAAGAATATATCATGTCATAGAGATCCTCAAGTAGAGATGAAAGATGCTCTTAAAATCTTCCACTCTTAGACTATAACACAACCTTGATATTTCTCTATTCTGAATTACCCAAATTAGCTATTAAACCAAATTAGATATTACTGTTTGTGTCTGAAATAGCAAAGTATTTTTAAAACACCAAAATATGTGGGAATGCTATTTTGGGTTGGCATCATTCTTTACTTACACCAACTATTGCAGGGGCACTGAAAAAATGGCTCAAGCACAACCATGATTTGCCGGCACGGATAATCGTGTATCGTGATGGTGTTGGGAATGGCCAGCTAAAAACAGTTCTTGAATATGAAGTCCCACAGCTGCTGAGCAGCATCAGGGAATCCGGTTCAAGTACCAGGTATTGCTCTTTCTCTGCCACTTCCAAAGATAGCATGTCCACTTGCAGCTATTAAACCAAAGTGCACAAACATGACTTTCTATGCAGCGTGCTTCTGCACTGTGCCAGTGTGGCTGTATGGGTTTCCTGTGAGTGGTCAGGACGGCCTCACATCGACTGCAAACAGAAGCTGTAGGCTTCAGGTGGGTCGCCTAGAGAAAGATACCTCGGAGGCAGCAGACACAGACAAAGTATTCAGGGCTGCTGTCAAATAAAGATGCTAATTGTGCTTACCGTGTATAAAAAGTATGTTAATGTGCCTAGAAAACAACCTGTGGTTTCAGATTGAAGGCACAAGTAATACATGAGGATAAATTATAGGCATTGAGTTGCTGTGCTGAGTTATGGTGCTGAAAAGTGCTGGAAGGTGTGGGAACCATGAAAGAAATCCAAGCTACAGATGGAAACCAGACCATCTTGGACACAGCGCCGCTCCCTCTTTGCATTTGTACATTCAGCATTTCAGTATAGAATTTTCCTCGGTGAGAATGTGAAGTGGCAAAGGCAAGAAAGATATTAAAAATGCAAAATTAGGGCTGGGTGCCATGGCTCATGCTACTCAGGAGGCTGAGATCAGAGAATTGTGGTTCAAAGCCAGCTTAGAAGAAAAATGCTGGACTGGAGGAGAGACTCAAGTGTCAGAGAGCTGGCCATGAGCAAGCAAACCTAGAAAACACAAGGCCTCCACATTCAAGCCAGGGTACCGGCAAGTACTTTCTTCCTGCCCTTTAAACATCAGTTAGCCAAATGATTTGGCATAATACTTTTTGCAGCTAATGAGAACAATCTATTTTTAAAGTTGTGCATTTCTCTAAGGAAGGAAGTACTTTGTTTTGTGGTGTTTTCTGGTAAATTTTATTTATTTAATATTAAGATTACAAAACTACATGGATTACTTTTCTGTTCCTGACTTTTGCCCCCAGGCTGTCTGTGCTCGTGGTCAGGAAGAAGTGCATGCCCCGGTTCTTTACAGAAGTGAGTCGCACCCTTCAGAACCCTCCTCTGGGCACTGTTGTAGATTCAGAAGCAACACATCCTGAGTGGTAAGAGATCCTGGAAAATCAGTTTTAGTGAGTATTCATGTGTCTTCCTTAGGTTTGGGCTCATTCTGTTTAATTTCATTTTATGACCTTCAGGTATGACTTTTACTTGGTCAGCCAGACTGCCCGTGGGGGAACTGTCAGCCCCACCCACTATAACATCATCTATGATGACAACAGCTTGAAGCCTGACCACATGCAGAGACTGACATTCAAACTCTGCCACCTGTACTATAACTGGCAGGTACGTAAGGCTGCTTACTGATGGTGCTCAAGAGTCCCATCTAGCTGGACAAAACTCAGAAGGAAAACAAGTGCTTCAGAGAACAAGGTTATTTCTTGATTATCATCTTGTTTTCCTTCCTCAGGGTCTGATCAGTGTCCCAGCACCATGCCAGTACGCACACAAGCTGACCTTTCTGGTGGCACAGAGCATCCACAAGGAGCCAAGCTTGGGCTTGGCTGATTGTCTCTTCTACCTCTGATGACGTCACCATCAGCATCACTTCATGCAAATGCAACAAGTAGTTGATACACTTCATACAAATCTGCCAACAGCTCAAGGCTGTCATGAGGGAAAGGGTTCAAGTTTGTTTTAACTTCTGAGGCGAAAAAACTACAAATGCCTTAGTTTGAAAAAGTTATAAAGACAAGCCATTGGCTCACACCTGTAATCCTGGCTACTCAGGAAGCTGACATCTGAGGAGTGAAGTTTAAAGTCAGCCCCAGAAGGAAAGTCCTTAAGATTCTTTTTCTCTAACCACCAAAAGCCAGAAGTGGAGCAGTGACTCAAGTGGTTGAAAGCTGAGGGACAGTGCCCAGGCCCTGACACAGGACCAGAGTGTATACGTGCACACAAACATGGTACAATATTTTAAGTTTTATGCTTGGAGTAAAGTCTTAATGTAGCATGCGATTAAAATATCCCCTCACCTAAAATGATCTCACAAAGTTAAGTATTGCCTGTTGTTGGCATGCTGGTAGGTGAGTGGGGTCTGATTTCCCTCCCTGAACTGATGAGCGATTGAACCAAAGGGCTTGTGCTTGGCTAGGCAAGTGATCTGCCACCTGAGCAGTGTTCTCAGCCCCAGAGGCTTTTTTTTTTTTGGTCGGTCGTGGGGCTTGAACTCTGGGCCTGGGCGCTGTCCCTCAGCTCTTCAGCTCAAGGCAAGCACTCTACCACTTGAGCTACAGTGCCACTTCCGGTTTTCTGGTGGTTTTATTGGAGATAGGAGTCTCACGGTCTTTCCAGCCCGGGCTGGCTTTGAACCGCGATCCTCAGATCTCAGCCTCCTGAGTAGCTAGGATTACAGGCCTGAGCCACCAGCGCCCGGCCCCAGAGGCTTTCTTAAGTAATGTTATAGACCATCTTTTGGAATAGTTTAAATAATTATTAGAAGATAAGGAAATTTAGAACATCACACATGTTTATTGTTACTGGGATTTTAAGTTGGCATTTAAGTGAACCCCTCATCACTGTCTAGTTTTATCAAAACCCAGCCCACTTGCTCTTGTGATGTATCTTTATTTCAATTAATATCAGCCATTCTGGGTGTTGTCTGTGATTCTTTGTTCTAATTCTTTACTCTCTTTTCTGCATCAACATTTTCCCCTTAACAGTCCCTTTCTATTGTTATAAGTAACTGTTATCTCTTCCATCTTAAAACATAAACCATTTATATATCTAGGTGTGCCACTCTATTTCTTTGCTGTTCTTCATAGAGACATGTCTGAAACAATCTGTACCTGATGTATCCAGTTCTATTAAAACACAGCACTGCATGGAACCAGTAACCTCCACTTGGCTCGTTTGCCAGTCAGGTGTCAATGTTTTCTGTGTGTCACAGCCTTTGATCCAGAGGTCATCAGAGGCAGGCTGCACCTCGCCTCTAGGATACTATGCTCTCCATGCTGGGTCACTCAGTCTTTCTCTCTCATTAGCATATTCTCTTCTTACCTGATGGTGAGAGCAAGTCTATGTGCAAAAGATATTTTCATGAAGGGAAATTTACAATGTCAAAGAAAGGTGACATGGAGGGCCCAGTTGGGGGGGGGGGTGGCACATTCGCTTCATGGGACAAGGCATAGCCACAGCCAGAGGCACAGTGTAGCCATCATTATCCACATTGCACTGAGACACCATTTCCAAGTGAAGATGATCAAAGCACATTATACACATGCATAGACATATCACAACGAATCCCTTCTGTGCAATTGGTATACACTAATAAAAGAAGAAATGTTCTTTTCCAGTTGGAGAGTCTTGTTCAGATTGGTAGAAAGGCAGCTGACCTGGGGTACTCTAGTAGGAGTAATGACCTTCAATAGAGCATGAAGATAGAGTTTAAAAAGTGCCAAGCACTTTGCATGTGTACTTAATTTCACAACTTATGCTTTAGACAAGAATGGCCATTTTACAGGTGGCCAAATGAAGGTTAAAGATGTCACAGTTCACTGGGTGCTGGTGGCTCACACCTGTATGTAATCCTAGCTACTCAGGAGGCTGAGATCTGAGGATCGCAGTTCGAAGCAGCTCAGGCTGGAAAGTCCATGATACTCATCTCCAGTGAACTACCAGAAAACCAGAAATGACACTGTGGCTCAAGTATTAGAGTGCTTATCTTGAACTGAAGAATTCAGGGACAGTGCTCAGGCCCAGAGTTTAAGCCCCACAACTGATCAAAAAAAAAAAAAAAAAAACTCATACAGTTCAAAGGTGATGAGATTAACAATGCTTAGAATAGGAGTTTGTCCTCATGTTTGTTTGACTGCAAAACCTGTACAGTAAACTACAGGACTCTACTGCCTTAATTACACACACACACACACAAAACACGGCAAGAGTAAATTTTCTCCCAGAGCTATAAGGAAGAGCACTATATACCATGCCTTTGAAACCAAGGTACTGCACTGATACAGTGGTTGTCTTTGTTCTCATGATTTGTTGGTTTGGTTTGGTTTTCTAGTCTTGGGGCTTGAACTCTGGCCCTGGGCACTGTCTCTGAGCTGCTTTTGCTCAAGGCTACCATTCTACTCCTTGAGCCACAGCTCCACTTCCAGCTTTTTCTGAGTAGTTTATTAGATAGTGACATAAGTTTTACAGACTTTCCTCACATCTCAGCCTCCTGAGTAACTGTGATTACATATATGAGCCACCATCTCTTCTCATCTTCAATGTGTTTTTCTGTTGATGTTTTCTTCCTTCAAAGCATAGGGTCCCGTACAGCAAGACCACCTAATCAGACCACTTGTATTTTGGTTAGGTGATGCATACCTATGGATACTGCCTAAGAAAATGGCTGCTTACCCTCTTCACCCACCAGGGGGCAGACTAGGACTGCCTATGAACAAGCCGGTCTCCATCTGGTCAGTTTAGCTTTTTGTCTATCAGAAAAAACCATTGAATAAGTGGATGGTTTTCTGTTCTTCTACTTCCTGATGTGGTACCTAGAGTTCTTACTCCATGCTGTAGCTACTAAACTTGTCCTCCCGAAGCTCCCTCATTCTACACATTCCCTCGGGGAAGTGGTCTGTTCTCCAGAAGAATTCTACCTTCGTAAATCTACCCTTGGATCTACCGGTAGCTGATATGGAGACTGGGGGTATGGGCCTCACAGGCCCAGGGTTCAGTTTCCACATAGCCCAGCAGTGAAAGGTTTCTCTTCCCAGAAGTGCTGTGAAGCCCACCAAGATTGCATATCTGACATCTCAAGAATTTGAGAACAGCTAAAAATGTGGGTGACACATTTCCAAGCAAGTCCTTCTGGTATCGTGAAACCCCAGCTCTGCCTGTCTTTCTGCACTGAAGACCACCAGCGCACTGCTTCATTTCTGCCCATGTCAGCATCTGGTCTGGCAGTGAAACCATCCTGACGTGTGCTTCTGACAGGGTAAGTTCCAGTTATGAGCCTGTCCTGGGCTTACACTGGGCACTTTGCTTGCCTTTGCCTTCTGCGATCTTCACAACGTCTTGATGACTCAGGACAGGTGTTAACACCCCTGTTCCATAGCTCAGGGAACCAAGCTAACAGTGTGGAAATACTTGTTCATGAGCACAGAACTAACTGGCTTCAACGTCCCATTTTTCAAACTTGAAACTGTTCTCCTATCCTTTGCAGACCAAGGTAATATATGACAAGGAGCCTTTGCTCCTTCACTCCTTTCCCTTGCTGACTTTTTTTTCATTTGTTAGAGGTAGGAACACAAAGTGACAGTCTTCAGGGTGTGGAGCTTAATTCAAGATGATGACAGTTAGCTTTGATAGTGAGTTAGACCCTGCAAAGAACTTTGGGCCCAGGACATGGAGCTGAGAGGTAGAACCATGCGTTTTTCCAAAGGATGTATAACAAATACAAATACTCATAACATTTAATACAAACGCTTTGTTATCAGGGGAGGGGACAATCATGATCTGAAGAGGAGAGCTTGCTTCAGTTTACCCACTTGCATAGACTGCTCCCCCTCAATATGAAGGAGAACAAGAGGTCCCTTTCCAAGGAGGTACCTCTTTCTAGAGGCTGTTTTGGAGAGAGGCCTGCCAGCCTGGCTTTGAAAGATACTGGCATTCCTCTTTCAGGCTGACTGGGAGTTGTCCAGACCTGTCCTGGCAGCTGCAGGCACAGATCCTTGTCCTCTACCTCCCTGAAGAGACAGAAGTAGTTGTGTGCAGACAGATTCAACAAGGGCCTAGACATCTCTTAAAATGAGCCCTAGACATCAAAAGGAAGGAGACTCAGAATTCCTCCTTGCCAAACAACCCTCCCCCCCCTCTCTCTCACACACACACTACCTCTCACCCCAGGCTCCCTCCTTCAAGTCCTCTAGACATCACCCCACTCACCACCTGGTCCCTGGATGGGGGCCATCTGTATGATCTGTTCTGTGCATAGTGAAGGGCTCTGGAGCAATCAGCTGTGGCCTTGGAATAGCCACTGACCATCTCCATTCCCCACTTCAGTTTCATCTTCCCCTGCCCATCTCACTGGCCTGTTGTAATGGGAAATGAGATCATCCAAATAAAATTACTTAGCTACTTCAGAACTGATTACACTAATGACTGTTCTTATATTAACACATTGGTTTGCTAGTTTGGGCCACGTGATCAGGTAAGGAAACAAGACAGTTTTCAGAAAATAATCCACAAGAGTATAGAGTATGTGTTGATTAAAATGTCCCTAGCAGGCTGGGGATGTGGCTTAGTGGTAGAGTACTTGCCTAGCATGCATGGGCCTTGGGCCGATTCCTCAGTATTACAAAATAATTTTTTAATTAAAAAAGAGACTCATATAAAAAATGTCCCTGACCTTTCAGCTGGAGAGTAAAGTGGGTTTCTTCACTCCCAAGAAAGAATACAATATAGAATGCCTGTGGCCTTTTGCTGATGGAATGGAGATAGAATGGAACCTCCACTTTAAGGATTTCCTTATCCCCTTTAGAAAACAGCAAATAGAAAAGTCAAACCAGACATCTGGTTTACTTTTGAAAGAATATCTGCCTTCTTGCTGACATTAATTGGTACTCAGCATAAGTTTGATTGCTCAGCAGAAGCCCTATGTGGCTAGAAGAACACGTTTCCCAACTTTGTAAAATATGGCTCAAAGGGGAAGAAGCTAAGAAATGGCCCCTTCCTCCCAGAGCAAAGCCCACCTAAACCACGGAAGCATGCATGTAAGCACTCATTAAAAGGAGACCGAGAAATATCAATGCCATAGCTTGTGAGAGCA